ATATATATATATATATATATATATATATATATATATATATATGCATATATAAGCTCATATAAATTAAAAATAATATTTGAAATATCATACAATATAATGATTATTTTTACATTATATTATTAAAAATCTATTAATCTAAATCTAATTTTATTATAATGTAAATCTAATCATAATAATCTATCTTTCAAATTTAATTGAATTTTAAATGAATGATTTTAACAAAAAAAAAAAGTGGCTAAGATTTATTTTCTGTTGCATTTGTCAATCTTAGATATAAAGATGCACGAAAATAATTAATAATAATTATCGATAATACGATATGGAAAGACGCGCCGTTGTAATTGAAAGAAAAAGATTCAGGTAGGTAGCCGTCACCCCTATTCATGAATAACGATGTACTTATGCAGAACAGAGATTACAGTGGGCGACAATTGCGAATCATGTGAATAAGCTAGTGCCATTGGACTGGGATACCTGTTATCTTCTGTACATTGTCTTCAACGTCTGTGATTACTTTGTTCGTGTGCCAGCAACGAGTAAAGGTCTCGTCTCGACTAGTGAAATATCCAACAGACACTTTAACTTTGAATTCGATATTGTCTATGCTTTCTGCAAGTTAATTAATTGTAATTGTGTGATTGTGCACCCCTATCCTGGCGAGTGAAATAGAGATAAGAACTGTAATTCTCTCAGAGAAATTAACTTCGTGTAAAACCTGGAAAATCTATAATAAATGAAATGAAATTTAAATTGATTCATTCAAAACAGAAAAAAGAGAAATTTCTAATCTATAATAAGTAAAAATACTAATCTAAAGATCTAACTGAAAAGCTTCTATTTATTAGATTTTAATATTGCTTGTTTATAAGAAATACAATTTAAAATTTTAGTTTTATCTATCTCTTCATTAGCAATATAATTCATTTACATCTTCAAAGAAATTTTATTCGTGAATCTTAGCGCAAGCATTGAATCAAAGCAAAATTTAAAATTTTAAATCAAATTAAATTTTAAATTAACTACATAGTTAATACTAACTATGTAGTACACTAAAATCTTCAGCAAGTAATCTAAATTTTTTCTACATTTTTCAAAAGCTCTAAACCAGTGAAAACATTGGATGTGTAATACAATTTTCAATACGATACGATAATATGTTTGTCCATCGAGGATTAAATTCAAAATCTATAATACAACTTTTTCTATGCAGAAGCTATGCGTCTTTCTACATTTACTACCCTGATCTATCACCCTGAACTGTTTCTGTTTTGCAAGAATAAATAAAGTGATGTCAACGAGGTCAGTTTGTCGTTAGTCGTAAATTTTCTTGGCATCTGTTGCAACAAACTGCTTCTCTTTCAACGATGTTCTCTCATCAACTTACTTATTGACGTAATTGCCGTCAAAGTTGACTTCGAGCTGCTGAGATGTGATCACGGCATCTTTGTCAGAGCCACTGGGAGGTCGTTGAGGAGCAGCTAATGTCGCCGTCGTACAAAGTACGACCGCCACTAACACCTAAAGTAATAATAAGCAAGTAAATAATTTTTAAAGATCAATAACACATTCGTTTCTCATAAGAAATTCATTCGTTCAGAATTCAAAAGTAAATTTCTAAAAGAAGAAGATATGAAAGATAAATTTTTAACATATTTTAAATATTATAATAACAAAATACAACTGCATGTATAAATAATTTATAAAAAGTTATTCAACTGTATAAAAAAAGTAATTAATTAGTGTACTAATAGAAAATAGAATATCACGTTCAATTAAAATGAATTTTGTAAAATTAAAATCTTTCTTGCGAGAAAATCATTACAAAACAAAGTAATTATAGTTGGCTACACTATAAACGGACCGTGTAATATGAAATTTTCTTCATTTAACCTTTGAGTATCCGCTACAGACCGATCTGTGTAATTATTCTCAATTTTCATTCATTTCCCAACTTATACTATATTTTATATATTTGTTA